CCAGCCAGGGCATGGGCAGCAGAAAAGGCAAGGACTTGGGGAAGGATGGCACATGTAGTTCCTTCCTCGGGCAGGGAAGGGAGAGAGAGAGAGGTCAGAGGTGGGGGAGGCAAAGGAGGAGAGGGGAGAGCAGGAGACCAGGTATAGGGAAATGGTGGGAGGTCATTGGGCAGGACTGACAGCTGCAGGCGCAGCCTGATGACCAGCCAGGGCGTGGGCAGCAGAAAAGGCAAGGACTTGTGGAAGGATAGCGCATGTAGCTCTTTCCTGGGACGGGAGAGAGGAGGTCAGAGGGAGGACAAATTAAAGGTTGAAGATGATAGAAGTACATAGCAGATAGCCACTCCTCAGATCCCATTCTCCCAAAACCTCCAAAACACCAAAACCTCGACTTTTAAGAAAACATCCTGCGCCATCTGCTAAGGCCTGGCTAAAGGCCCTTTTTATAAACCTCAATTTCCCTCCTGCGCCATCTACTATGGTAGTTTGGGCCAGTTTTTTGGGATCCAGGGCAGCGAGCGACGGCCGGGTTATAGCCCTATGTTCAACTTCCAGGCTGGCCGAATAGATGGCGCAACCCCCAAAAATGACATCATGTCTGCGCCATCTGGTTTGACATTAGAGTATATAATAGACTCTGGATAAATAAACCCACCCAAACATGAATTGGAAATCCTCTTTAGGCCTTGGGGGGGTTAGATGTTATTAGTCAAGAGTCTACATTACCCAAAATGAGAATCAGTTTGAGTGAGACGGTGCCTCCAAAGGCACCTGACAACTGATGGTCTTCAGCCCCAAATCTTCATAGAACGTTTGGAGGATTTCACACCTTCCCTTGTCCGTGAAACGGGTGAAAAAGAAACACGGGCGGTCTGTTTGGACCGGTTTTGCTGATGCCAGATGTGGGTGGAGGAGACATTTGCACAGTGGGAATTTGTAGAAAACAGGTGGGATTGTTTGCCCTATCTGCATGGGTTGCTCAACGGTGGTGCTTGGTCCGCCCATGTTTCATAGGGTCGCCAACTCTGGTAGCTGTAGCATCAGTTCACACCTGAAATCCCTGTCGACGATCCTGGGAGTTCGAAGTGAACCAAGATTGACTTTAAAGCTGATCCAAACAGTCTGACAGGCGTTTAAATACCCAAGAACTCGCCAGCCTGCCCAGCCATTAGCCGAAAAAGCGCCAATCCGAACAAACCTCCGTGAGATCTCTTGAGTCTATTTATGCTACTAGTAGCAAGAAGCTACTAGGGTGGAGGCCATCGCCACTAGGTTGGAGGCCATCGCTACTAGGGCGGACGCCATCGCTACTAGGTTGGAGGCCATCGCGACTAGGGTGGAGGCCATCGCTACTAGGTTGGAGGCCATCGCTACTAGGGCGGACGCCATCGCTACTAGGGTGGAGGCTATTACTACTAGTAACAAGAAGCTACGTTTTATCTCTTGAGTCTTTTGATGTCTTTTTCCCAACCAGCCCCCTTCTTCTCCCCCCACCCCCATACACACACTTAGGATAGGGTGTACTGAACTGAAAGCGGTGCCACACGCCGGCCTAGGTTACCAATTCCTAAGAGTACAGGTAAGGAAACCTGAAAAGGAAGTGGAGGTCCATCAAGTTCAGCGTGGCCATCAACTCTAAAGGAACCGTCGAACGACTGAGCGACAGAGTGACGTCGTCCGAAACCAAAGCCCTATGCGTGACTGCCGAGAGCAAACCGGTGCAAAGGCTGGATTTCTTGTTTTAGGTACAAGCAGGGCCCGGAGATTGGAGTAATTATCACAGCAGGTACAGGAAACTGGCCAAGTTTCCCTTCCCACTCTCGCCCACAGCTTCATTGCGTGTGGTAGGACGAGAGTGCCACAAGCCCCTGCTGCACAAGGAAAACAACTGTGAAGCTAAAACAATCCGAAAGGATCCCTATGATTCCAAGGGTTACACACACACGCCTCCCCGAGGGGAGGCAAGATTTCGTCCCCAAGTAGTGGTAAGGCCAGGAACCTCTAGTTGCGTCAAAGAAACACCTAACACCTAGTAGGAAGGCCAGGAGCCCCTAGTAGTATCCCAAGCTAAGGTGCCGACAAGAGGGAGGGGTAGGGAGAGACGAGAAAAGGGAAAGAAAAGAAAGGAAGGTGTTCCCAGCTACGACGCATGCGTCCAAGGACACACCAAAGGAAGAGAGGAGAAGGTTCCCAGCTATGACAAAAGCATCCAGGGACACCCAAGGAGGGAGGAAGGAGAGAGAGAAGGAAAGAAAGAAAGAGAGAGGGAGAGAAAGGGAGATGAGAGAAAAAGAAAAAAGGCAGGTGTTCCCAGCTACGAACAAGCGTCCAGGGACACACCAAAGAAAGAGAGGGGTGATCCTGAGTGTTGCATTCAGGAAAACCCCAGGAAGCAAAGAAAGAAAGGGGGAAGGGAAGGGGGAGAAAGGGGCTAAGGTCCCAACAGGTTCCAATGAACCTCAAAAATACTTTGACCGCTGTGGTCACCTTGTGCCCTGCCGAAGCGGCTGGCTGCTTAGACCGCTGCGGTCACGTAAAGGCATGAGCCAGCTTGGAATTCCTAAAATGAGAAAATCATCGTACGTACGGCCTAGGCCACCTACGCTCGCTGCGAGCTGCTCTGTATCCGGGCAGGGGATACGTTGGACATACACCCGTTCGACGGGTCCACGGGAGGCACTCTGCGGGCTCATCCCGGGTTGGCACGAGGCCAAACACACTTAGGATAGGGTGTACTGAACTGAAAGCGGTGCCACACGCCGGCCTAGGTTACCAATTCCTAAGAGTACAGGTAAGGAAACCTGAAAAGGAAGTGGAGGTCCATCAAGTTCAGCGTGGCCATCAACTCTAAAGGAGCCGTCGAACGACCGAGCGACAGAGTGACGTCGTCCGAAACCAAAGCCCTATGCGTGACTGCCGAGAGCAAACCGGTGCAAAGGCTGGATTTCTTGTTTTAGGTACAAGCAGGGCCCGGAGATTGGAGTAATTATCACAGCAGGTACAGGAAACTGGCCAAGTTTCCCTTCCCACTCTCGCCCACAGCTTCATTGCGTGTGGTAGGACGAGAGTGCCACACGCCCTTGCTGCACAAGGAAAACAACTGTGAAGCTAAAACAATCCGAAAGGATCCCTATGATTCCAAGGGTTACACACACACACACACATCCACCCACACCCACATGCGCTGTGCCGCGCACCTCCTCCAGGACGTTTCGCTGCAAGGGTCGCCAGGTCCTCACAGTGACCTCCCGATGCCCGCAGGCGTTGGGCAAGGTCATGGAGCCGTAGGCCAAGGTCCTCGGCTTTTGTGGTTTTTCCAGTTTCAAGGTCCACCCCCCTCACCCCCCACAGCAAGAAATTCTGTCAGAGGTGCCCGTCCTGTGGCCAGGCTGGGTTTCGGTTCGTTCCGTTGAGGTACCGATTGATGTGGCCGGGTGGTTGGGTTTCGGTCAACGCGGTTCTGTTTCGGTCCAACGTGGGTTCCGGGTTCGGAACCTGGTGGGCGGAAAACCACGACCCAAAAACAAGTGGCTCCAAAAGTGACGAGTGGTCAAGCCGGTCCGGTGGTTGTGGTCTGGACAGAGCCAAACAGTGTCAGGGTGGGGCGGGGGGGGGCACAAGTTGCATCCATTGGATGTGATACTCTTATTTTGGCAAACGATTGAAAAAGGAATGGGATCACATGGGCATAGTGTCCATGGTGGGTGACTTGTTTATCTATTGAAAAAACGGCTTGGGTTTGGTAATCAGTGAGAACGTGACACATATCTGACTCAAAAACAGCCCTCACGTTTGGTTTGAGTTAGGGAGGTTAGGAAGGGCACCTGTCCTGGCCAACAGGTCTGAGGCAAATAGAGCTGATTCGTTGCCCCAAAAAATGGACGAGAATGATTCGGTACAAAGCCACCGGCTTTTCATGCCTTGTACCCTGACCTGATTTTGGGGGGCCTTGCTACCAAGCTGCTCCACACGCCCGGCGGCGTCCAACTTGAAGACTTGCAAATGCAACTGAGGCCAGCTGGCCACCGAGTCGGCGATGTAGTGGAAGTCGATGGGATGATTGAAGACATACCTAGGGGGGTCGGAGGCATCATGGGTACCCACAGCATGTTTCTTCACATGGCCAAAGTCAAGCACTCTCTCTCACTCTCTCTCTTTTTCTGATTTCAGAGGATCCCTGGGATGGCGTGGCGATCGGGGAGCGCTAAATTGGCCACAGCCAGGCCAACGCCTCTTGTGGTCCCTATCTCGGTGTTTGGACCGGTTCAGACCCTTCAAAAGGATCAAAAAGGGCGACTCAACCGATGGTGCCCCAATCCATCTTGCATCCGTTCACACTTGGAAAGGGTCCATTCTACCAGGTCTGAGCTCCTTCGACATCGACTTCGACCTGAGCTCCTTCGTGCCGCCCAGCTTCACTCCATGAGCGTCCGCATAGCAAGTCTGCGTCTGCCCCACGAAGCCTTCCTTCCGAGCAATCGGGAGCCAATCCATCCCCGCCTCGCAGGAGTAGTCGACGAAGAGCCCGTCGTCCACCTCGAGTCCTCGACCGGAAGGAGAAGTGTTCTTCGCGTCTTTAAGCGGATGAGAGTGGCCAAAGCAACAGTGGAATCCAAATGGATACATCAGTAAGACATGGTAAAACAGGGTATGCGACCCTCACCTCAAATATGATCACCGAATATCGCAAAAACATGCCCCACCAAAAAAAGCACGTAGGTACCAGGCAGTCAGAGCTTCGCCCACAAAAGTGCTCTTCCCTTTTTTGAGGGGGTGGGAAACGGGGGGAAGGAACTGTATGGGCCATATGCCGGTGAAAATCTGCTCCTCTCGCCACTCACCCCTCACCCCTCACCCTCACTCGTGGCTCGTGCAACTCGTCCTGGAAAGTCCCAGCCACACCTCGGGCGAGCGAACCTTCCACGTCGGGGGGTTCGACCGGGGTTCGAGCGAACCTTGGGAATCCCGGGAGCCGGTGCGGTTCCAACTGGACAAGCAGATTGAGTAGTGTTCCGTAGACCAACTCCAGTGTTGAGGTCAAACTCACCTGTTCGTGTGAATTGGTTTGTGAAATCCATTTTCGCTGACCTACCACCTCCAAGGACTTCGGAGGCTCCAAACACCTATTGATACAGTCCTTTGAATCACCTGTGGACCCTCGACAGCTCATCTCAAGCTATGCCTATGCATGCCATGCCTTCCCGTCGTCGGTGCATCGCTTAGTACGGGACAAATGGGAAGAAATTCCTGGACCTACCAGGACCTACCTGGACCTTCCTGGACCTACCAACCTAGAAGCCTTTTGACCTGCTTTTTGATTTTAAAAAATACCATGTTCCTCCCAAACAGGGGTCACTCAGGTTCTAGAAGGGAGATGTTTTAAATTTACACAGCTCCATTCTGCAGGATGCACTGCCCATCCCCGACCAATCCTCATCCTGATCCCCTCTCAACCACTCCTGTTTCTCAGGGAAACATCTGAAACCAACATGACGCGACAAATCACACATGATTGAACCATCGACAGTTGCAAAACAATGCTCAGGACTCGCTCGGGACAGTGGCAAACCTCCATCTCCCATCCATCTCCGGTCCCCGTCCAGCCCAGGCCAGCCACTCCAACTCGCCGATGAAGTGCAACTCGAATTCATCCCCCGGTGCACAGGGCGGTGCGCGCGGCTTGGGCGCAGGCACCGGTGCGGGGGGAGCAGGCGCTGAAGGCGCCGGGAGCGCTGTCATGGGAGGAGCATCCCAACAGCGGAATCAGCTCAATAAGTTTGAAACAGGTATCTCGTGGGTGTTCAAGTGAATTTGAGATTTTGCCTGTGATTTGAGATTCGCAAGCGATCTCAAGATCCTAGTTGGAAGATGTGGGGTCAGGAATCTTGAGTCATGTTTCCTGCTTGCAAGTGGGCACTTCATGTACCTCACAATATGTGAACGATCGCGTTTCTCAACCGTGTTGACATCTCGCTCTCTCGCCCCTGACCACTCACAACTCACTGTCGATCGCTTCGAGCTGATGCGCCGAAAAAGGATCCGCCCAGGGGCGCTTTTCAGCGCTGGTGGCATCCGAGTCCCTCCGTCGCGACGCGACGGCGCGGGCGTCCGAGACGGCGCGGCCTTTTCGAGACATCGACGTCGTTTTGTTCACGTCCGGCGTGGCGTGGCGTGGGATTCATCTCTTTTTCTTCATCAACTGACCCCAATTGGATTGAAAGGCCGAAAATCATGCGAAGGTGTAATTGATGTTGCTTGATCAAAATCTACAATCACCAACCAATTGTCTACATTATCATTACCCTTCACCATTCGATGGCGCTGGGGAGCGTGGTCTAAGTGTTTTTGAGGTGTTTGGAACACCCTGCAGGAGCCAATTGTTGTGCGCAGGTTGATAGGAAATTCTCCGTAGGTTTGATACTGGAAGAAAATAACGGTTTAACAAAAAACTCCCTGAAACACTAGGGAAGTTCAGCAGGAGTACAGTGCAGTAACATAGTTCAAGTGTTTCACGGAGCGTGGAAGACCAAATTCGCTGCGTTTCATCGCACCGATATATCTGGAAGATCTCCGGCCTCTATGACTGACCTTCCAGGGATTGCTCTGACTGACCTTCCAGGGGTTGCTCAAAATGTAATTGTCGAAAGCAGCCGCAACCAGGCCGCGAACCCGGAGCTGAGCATGGCATTAGTGTCACCAAGTTCCTGCGACACACAGGGTAAAGAGTCGCCACAACATCCGAAGCAGCGAGAGCCGCGGTTTTTCCACGGGCATGTATTTTGTCTTCTGGCGCGTCGCGAACACTTCTCGGCGGAAAACACGTGAATTTGGAACAGTCATTCTAGGTCATTCTTGCATGGTCACAGGGAAGCTATCCCCGTGATCCCTAAAGGTCATTGACGAAACGGAGGCCACCGGGAACTTCCAAGCCTTGTTAAAAGGCACACTGCATGCTTCAACATGGAGTTCTTTTTCATTTAGGGCCACCTTCTGGAGAGTCCAAACAGATTTCTGGGCGTGTAGAATCACAGTCATGCAAAAGGTCCAAATCCTTCTGCTGGATTTCAATACTTCAAGCGGCTGGCACAGAGACCCTGATCGTGGCATGGTTTGCATGATGAACAGGCATACCATATGCTGAAGTGTTTCCATTCATTAGGCGAATGCTAAGTGTCAGTGGAGTATCCCTTCTACATAGGTGGCACATCTTCTGAGCATGGCACAAACCTCCTGGATAAAAGTCAGGTTGGTGATGGAGGGCAGCTGCTGGTGTCCTCACGCGCATGGCGCGCGCTCTGCGCGCTCAGCAGCTATTCCTCACTTGCCGGGCAAGCCTGCCTGGCGCCAGATCATTCGATGGCTGTGGACCATGGCACCAGGAGACCGGCTGAGCACGACCTACCTGGCGGACTAGTGGAACTCGCTACAAATGGTGGATTGGTCGGGCAGCCGATCCTTTTCGAAACCCGTTTCGCGGTTTCTCGGGCCAAGGCTCTGAGCTCAGGAGGGTTCTGGCATGGTGCCCATGCACACTTGATTGACAGCCTCTGGTCTTGTTGCAAAGCAGTGTCACATGTGTGTGGGCTTGTTGCCATTGGTCAAAAATCTACTATCACCAACCCTTGCGCCCGGCCGCACCCTCAACCCTCCACGCTCCACGCCGCTAAACGCACGCCTGGCCTTGGACGATGCCCCGCCACTCCCATTGGCCGTGGAAGACGAAGCGCCCGAGGACGCGGCAGACGCCGCGGCGGCCGCTTGCGTGGCCATCCTCGAGTTCCCGGCGACGATTCAGTTGCACTGGGGATAGAACTTCAACATAGGTCTCTTGAAAGGAAAAAAGCACTGCTGATTCTGCACGGATATGTTGCTTTCAAACCACTGGGGTGTGGTGGCCACATCACACATGACATGTGTTCAGAGCCTGCGATTCACCACAGTGTACGTTGGAAGTGTGGCTCCAAACACCCGGAGACAGGTCGGGTGGGCAGTGAAAGCAGAAGGAATTGATGTTTCCAAAGGAAGGTTGCTGAGTGATTGCCTGTCTTTTGAAAAGACACCTGGAATATGTTTGGCGCTATGGCGCCAGCAGTTGCCAGAAAACAATTCCATTGATATATGCTGTATATACAGTAGAGGCTCGCTTCAAGTCATTTTGTCTCCGGGGCCAAGGAACTATTTGAGCCTCTGGGATTGCTGATCTGAACTGGTGCAAAGCTTTTTATTCGCTTCTGTTTATCAGTAAGGCTACGAGTTCATCACAGGAATAGTCTAGGATAAGTTCTGGTGTTCCAATGGATAAAGCATGACAAAGCATAACAAAGCAACATAATTCAATGAGGGATGATCACACAAAAGGATTGAATGCCGGTAGCACAACAAGACACCAATAGTGTACGGCCTTCAAAGGAACATCTAGTGCCAGGTGCCACCCCAAAACCAAAAAAATAAAGAAAACGTCATCCTGAAGCTCGCCTATAGGAACATCTAGCCTGGGGAACCTCGAGCCTTGGGCCTGGGACGTCATCCTAACCAAAAAGGAACATCTAGCCTGCAAAAAAAAGAAAACGTCTTCCACCCAACGTCGAAAAAAATCTGTTGGACGCACCCCGGCAGAACAATTCCGACTTCCATGAGGGCTGTAGGTCAGCTGGGCTCCCGGCTGACCAGCCGTATGGGAGGCCTTCACCAAGGTCCTCAGGTGGCAAGAAGCAGGTCCTGGAGGGTGGGGGAGGTCATGCAACCGGTGTGGAAAGTATTTTGGTGAAAGGGAAGGAGCAACAATGTGAGCAGCTTGTTCAAGATCCCTATCGAAACTATCAGCTTAAATGTATGGTTGGACAATCATCACCTGAACCCTATGCAAATCGGCACCCATGCAGCACCCTCTGTCTTTCTACGTCTGTCTATCACCTGAACAAGTTCCTTCACCACATCACCGTGCACACCGTGCACACCGTGCTGTCCAAGATGCTGCATGGCTTCCTGCGGTGTCAGACCTGCGGTCAACGGAGGCGAGAAGAAACGGAAGGCGTTTGCCAAGCGTTTCCAAGGGTTTATGCATCCAAGGTTTGAGAATCCAAGGTTAGCGAAGGTGTAATTCTAGATCCAAGGCCAGTCTCAAATCCCAAATCCACTTCCAAATGTTTGCCAGCATGTTCGAGTAAACGTGTCTTGTGTTTTGTGCTTTGCTGGTTGGAGTCCCTCTGAGCCCATCGACTCGACCCTTCGCGGTAAGGCGGGCGGAGGTGGAAAGGACTCAGCGAACCTCTACCAGCTGCTTCATGCTGCTTCCAAGGGGTTATCAATGGACAACCCTACACTGCTTTATAGGTCACCAGACAGGACACCCATTGGAAGCGCCAGGTCGGATGTTCCTGCATAGGTCGGGTCAGTTCGACGGGTCAAGTCAGAGGGACCCCACGTCCACGTCACACATCCATACCACCATAAGCTATATGCAAAACAAAAATCCAACAGCATGAACTAGTTTGTTCTTGACCAATTCGGACACGAAAAGAACTGGTATGTCGGATTCGTAGGGATATTCAAAAGAAAAAAGGAATCCACCCTACGAATCTGAACGGGCCCTCCATGGCAGGGGTCGGACCCGACCTCTTCGCAGGGGTCCGGACCCGAACCAACCCTTATGCCTTATGTGTTGCGAACTGGGCCCGTATTCCTAGGCCAACACCATATTTAACAAATCTTGCAACCACGAAATCCTCGAGATTGGAAGAAAGCGCGCTTCACGTTCGCCTCGGATTCCGAAAAGCCCTTCATTTATTCCGACCGAAAACGGCTGGAAAAAAGGGCACATGGATAGTGACCCCTTTCGAACTTTAAGTAATTTAGACAAAAATAACAGTAATAATAACAATCAACATAATATATATAGTTTATCTAAATTTAAAAGATATGCTTCAATGGTTTCTGGTCACAAAGGTATGTTTTAAATACAGCCTGCGTCGATGTGTATGACGTACACAATTTTGTTAAATACACACTACGTCGATGTGTATGACGCACACATGTTTTTTAAATACAGCCTGCGTCGATGTGTATGACGCCCACATTTTTTTAAATACACACTACGTCGATATGTATGACACAAATGTTTTTAGACAATACAGCTTACGTCGGTGATGGCGACGGAGATGTCGGTCGATTTGACGTATTAGAGATTGAAATGGTGGCGGTCGACACGTCGACACGTGTCCTGGAGTTTCCTTGGAAAAACAGAAGCCGTTTGAATTCGGACACGCTGAGACACTCATGCAAAGCCGCAATGCTGCAAGACTTGCGAAAAAAAAAAAAAAAAACAACGGGAATCTTAGAGAAAAAACAAAGTCTACAACTGACCTCAGCAATATTGCACGTAGCTGTAGTCCGTTTGTTTGCATATGGCGACGGGGCGACAATGGTCAGCTCGACTTGCGCGCGCTCGCAAGTGGGCCCGGGCACATGTCCGTAAGGGGCAGGATATTGGCAGCAAAGCACGGCCAGGAGTCACTTAGGGATCTCAATAGATTTTGCTCCAATCTGCTAATGACTATCACTACCAATTTGTGCATGCTGCGTGACTGATACATTGTGAAACTCTCAATATCGTTCAAAGAACATTATATAGCTGGGGCAGCCCAATTGCAGGCTGGTGGTCCGCACATATGAGACTGACCACGCGATGCGCTGGAAGGAGATAGCAGTGGGGAAAGTGAAAGGCACGGAAGGGGGATGTC